GGCAGAGCGGTTCACTTTTCAAAAGAAACGAATACGGTAGTCGCGCACTGCAAGATGGGAGGCAAGGTTAACGGTGATGGTGAATTGGGAACGCAGTTGCTGGAAAGTGCGATCACGGAGTGGTGGACTGAGGGTGTCTTATTTGTGAAGCTGAGCAAGGATGGCAAGAGGGTTGAAGGTGTGAGAGAGTTTATGCACAGCAAAAAGGCGGAGGAGCTGCAGATTCGTTTGGACGGAATCTTGAGCGAGTGATACCGCTGGTCTGGGTATCTGAACTGTAAGATAGATTTCACCAAACTTCAGTGGACGCAAACATGCCATTTGCTATCTGAGCTGAACGTGTATGCATAGCGAGCGATTTCAGATGTTCGTTGGATGCATAGCGCGACGATCAATGGGAGCACTCATGTCACGTGTTCGCGCGTTCATAACCTCTTGATATCATCTGCACTCGTACACCTGAACGTCAACTCGACATTGGTTTCAAAATGATCCAAAGCCGAGATGACGCGAGTTGGGAACGCAAAAAGGTCGCCCATCCTTCTGCCAGAATTTTAGACTGTGCAAAACGACCGCGCTCGGTCGCGTCCCATGTCCGACTTTCCACCCCACGACAAACCCCTCCCAAAGTCTAAGCCCCTCTGTTAATCAGATCCGCGAAGGTCTCTCGATAAGCCACCTCAACCCCTCTCATCTCCCAGTTCCGTCCGCGGTGCAACAGCGACGCTCAACAGCCGCACTAGCGCGTCTAGGCAGCGTCATAGACTTCCCTGCGCACTCTAGACCAAATAACGAAATACCATCTGCGGATCACAACAGCCCTCGAAACTCCGGTGGAGAGCCGTGATGATGATTACAGGAAGAAGGAATTAGACAGTCTTCGGGGGGCGTGTGGTGGGCCTGAGATAATGCATTCGCAGTCCGCGATATCGACTTGCGGCTAAGTAGTTTTGATGAATGAAACCTGGTACATGTGGCAGAAAATTATCTAGGGTGAAGTATGTCGGAGAATCGGGGTGTTGAAAACTGCGAACCAGCGGAAAGGTTCGTGGAAGTGTGAAGGGGTAATGTTTTGTTGTTGCCCTGCCTCTGTTTGATAGTCAGAATTCATCGTTCGCACCTGCAGTCTGCTGGACGACGGGCGGTAGGTGGGTGTATTTAGTGAGCTCAGTCTGGTACGAGAAGAAATCTTTGGTTCATGGGTACACGTCCCGGACTCGAATCGCTAGTTTGCACCAGGAACGGAAAGTACCAGTTTCCTTTATCGGCGCATCTCGTCTGCGAAACCCTCGCTTGTGCTGTGACCTGCACATGCTTCGTGCAACGTCGCTTACAGTGATCTTCTCTCGACGCTCAGACACAGTGGTAGCGGTTTCAATGAGAGGGGAAGCGAGTGGAATGCCACAGAGATAGCGATGAGCAACATGGAAGCGGCCGCTGCCATGGATCGCTGAGGACCAAACAGTGGCGGGCGCTCCCGCCGAAAGAACGCTTGTACCAGAGAGGCAAGGCGTGTCAAAGTGCTCAGCCTTGCCCAGCACATGTGCCCTAGAGAGACAGACGACTCCCATGTGTGTCAATCTTCAAGCATTTGGCAAAGAAAATGTCATGCTATGGTTGATAATATCGTATTTCATTCATTGTTCAGTGTTCATGACACATTTCCGAAACGCCGTGCACGCAATACAGTCTGCGGCTATGCCTTTTCATACCCGCGCCTATTCCCAGTCACCAGCTCCGAGATCAATCGGCACGCCCGCCCTCATGTCATCCATGATCTTCTCAATGCTCCAAGGCTCGTACTTGTAGCCCTTGGGGTAGTTGGGCTCAAACTTGTCTTCATCCTTCATGTCGATGCCTTGCTTCAGCGACTGCGCACTCTTCTCGTAGTTCTCGTATACGTAAGCCTCAGGGTCGTGAGACCAAACCCACTTGGGTAGTTTGGGAGCAGCGCGGCGGGGATCAAGCTTGACCTTGTCCCAGTCGGTGTCTTGGAGAAGTTCAGCGTTGGAGAAGCCGAGCTTCTGGGCACAGGAGTTGCGGATGAAGCTATCGGACTACGTTAGCATATGTGTGTAGAGAGATTGATTGGGGATAGCAACTCACCGGAAGCGGATGTGTACGCGAACGGACTGAGGAATGTTCTCCTTGCCGCCGACCTGCAGGCAGGAAGCTATCGATATGGCATCCTCAATGGCCTGGGTCGCTCCGTTGCCGGAAGCTGGTAGGTAGGAGTGTGCCGCATCACCGATCTGAATGACGCGAGCGCCGGGAGAGGTCCAGCTTGGCTGAGGGTTGCGCCAGAGGAGCTCGAAGTTGACGATCGTCTTGGGCGGGGTTGTCTCGACAAGTTGCTTGAAGATGGGGGCCCACTTGACCGTCTCCATCCCAGGCATAGTGTCCATGCCGTCCAGAACTTCTTCCTTCTCGATCGTGTTGTTCCACGACTCCTTCTCAGTACCGGTGACGTCGTGGTTCATGATCCAGACCATGACATCCTCGCGAGACAGGGTGAGCGCGTACGTGGATGGACTATGAGGGTTAGCCGAAGTGTGATGATCTGGTTGGAAGGACTTACCCCAGCCATGTCCTCACAATTGGCTCATTGCCTGGCATCATCTTGAAGAATTCTTTCACCTCCGGATCTTTGTCGAGAGCTTCCCTGGGGAAAGCAGCACGCCACATGGCCCTTCCGGAGGGCCTCGCGCGCACTTGTCCACCGACCAACTTCTGGCTCTTTGATCCAACACCATCAGCCGCAATCACTACATCCGCCTCGTAGCGCTTGCCGTCGTCGGTGGTGCAGCCACCCTTGCCAGTTTGCTCGTCCTCAAAGTAGTCCACAACCCTGCGGTTGAACTCAACGGAAACACCGAGGTTTTCTACAGCGCTAACGAACATCTTGTACACAAGCGGGCGCATCTGGAACTCGCCAGGAGGGGTATCAGGGTCCAGCCCTTGTGCACGAAGGCGATCTGCAACCTTTTTAGGTCCGATGACAACTTCGCCCGAGTGCTTGAAGGTCTCGATCCAGGCATTGTGGAGCGAAATCTTCTTGTACTCCTTGAGCAATTCAGGCCAGTGCTTCAAGAAGCGGGTTGCGCTGAGGCCCATGAAGTACATGTCACCTAGCACACGTTATGAGCTGCTCGTCAAGACCATGATATGAAAATGCCGCTCACCAGCTGTGTTAATGTCTGCATTCCTCTCAAGCACGCGAACGTTGTGGCCCTTGCGTGTGCACTCAAGAGCAGCGACCAGACCAGCCAGACCGGTACCCACGATGAGGACATCGATGCCAGTGTTAGGGTACGACCCTATTGGCTTCGACTCCATCGTGGAGTCGCGAGAAGTAAGAGCGTGAGGCATGACTGCGGTTCAGTGTGTATAATCGTATTGAGGTGGTTGTATCGTCGAAACCGACCTTCATACAAGCCGTGCCTGCCTTTCATACATGCTGAAGGTTGCCTCCACCTGCATTCCCCGTTGGGGTACCAGTGAGGCTTGCCGAAGACCCTCGGACGTCCGACTGGCCGGGCTGTTTCGCAGTTGTACTTTCGCGGCCATACTATGGCATGCAGGTGTTGGACAATGCAATGACCATTGCACTTGGCGGCAGATTGTCAGGAACATGGCTGCTTTGGTCGAGGACCGATCTCGATGACGATGGGCAAGCCCCCGCGCTAGCCCAAACTCCCGGCTGGCGTACGTCCGTGCGAACGCGCTATGGTTCCCCACAAACTCCGGAGGCCAAGCACGGCCAACAGCATCCTAAGTCATCTTTGTACACGATCGAGTTCAACGTTTATGCTGGACATACACGCTGATGCCAGGTCCGCGGCGTTCCTAGCCTATCAGCTCGATCACGGCTGTATCTCGCTGCTCCACGTGGGCACATGATGACTGCAGCCCTTGAGATTCGATTGATGTGTAACGTCGCTAAATATATTCCAGCACTTCTAATGACGCTTAGACTTCTTTGCTCGAGGTAGTGAAGAAGATCGCTTCTAGACTGGCTGTGTTTGACACCTTTCTTCGGGGGACTTGGCCGCCCACCAAAGGAACGCTTCCCGTGCAACGACAACTGAGGGTGCTCGGTTTCAGAAATGCAGTGTGGCGTCTGTACCCCATCACCGAGGCGTTCGACCAGTAACGTGCAGTACGAACGAGGAGCAAATGTGACACCCATACTGCCAGCGATGCATACCCATGCTGCAAGCTATGCAGCACAAGTTGATTAGTAGAGGGGTCTTACGGCCCGGTAATGTGCCGGCTGCCGACTTTGATCTTGCTATCTGTCGGTGATGCTTGGCCTGGTAATGTGGAAATAACAATTACTTGCCTAGAGAAAGCGGCAGACGCGGACGCAGCCACTAGGGAGTTGCTCCTTCAGCTGTGTCCAGTTCTCAAGACCAGGGAGTAAATGTTTCGATACGCCCGAGTTCATGCAAGTGAACTTGGTTCATGTCGATCTCTGTGCTCTCCCGGCGCACCGATACATGTTAGTCCAGCCCCAAGCTCTTCAATATGTCGTAAGTCGGCGCCCGCTAGCACCGACTTCTGTTCTTCCGCCGTGGCGGATACAGATACTGAGATCAACAAGGGTGTTAGTGAGATCGCCATCCTGGCACACTATGGAAATCGGTAGTTTCCAACCTTGGCCATTGGATGAATCTGCCGTCTGTCACCCAAGCGATGTTTAGTTCCATGTCGGCTATGCTCACCTAGACGCCGATGGATCTGGTGCCCTAAACGGTCCCGTCTCGCCAGTGGGCCCTGTATGGCTGTACATAAGTCAAGCTCTGGGGAGCCGGACGAGTGGTAGTGCAACGAAAACCTGTGGTGAGATATTTACCAGGCTTCCCACGCTGTGGTCTTGTGATTGTTACCGTTCTCTCCGACAACATCCCCGTCAAGACCCTTGGCAAGTCAGTTGACAGTCAACCCCTCCGGTCCCGACTTTTCTACAGACGCCTTCGACCGTCACCTGCGTACTCGAAATGCATCCCTTCACAGCCTACGCCCTAGGCGTCGCAGTCGTCGGCCTTGTTGTATACGCAGTCGTCGACGCCGTCACCAAGTACGACAAGCGATACAATGTCCAGAACATGCCTGGCCCCTGGCAGGTACCGTGGGTTGGACGCATTCACGACCTACCCATTGAGTTCATGTGGCTGAAGTTCAAGGAGTGGGCCGACATTTACGGTCCCATATACCGCACCAAGATGTTGGGCGCGAACTTCATCATCATCACCGATGAGAAGATTGCCGAGGATATGCTTGTGAAGAAGGCGAAGTTGTATTCCGATCGACCCGAGATCAAGTCGCTGTTCGATGCGAAGAGCACATACGGCTCGATGGAGTACCTGCCTCTCATGGGAAAGAACCGTAAGTCTCGCAGTGATGGGGGCGGCGAATTCTGCTAATCAAAACAGAATACTGGGCTCGTCAGCGAAAGTTCACTCATTCTTACCTCACTGGAGCTACCAACGTCCGCTATAATGGTATCATGGAATTCGAGGCCAAGCGATGGATGGCCAGGCTCGTAGAAAACCCCGACGACTTCAGCTTTTCCCTCGAAGACATGTGCTCTAAGGTCATGTGCCAATTGACATGGGACGATCCTTCGCTCAGTGTTCCTCTTACCCCCAGCGCATGGGGTCTGCTCACCCAGATGTCACCCGCCGGGCCAATCACAAACGTCTTGACTCCTCTCTGGGACTGGGTGCCCGAGCCGATCAACCCCTGGAAGCTCCGTGAGCGCAAGCGCCACGACGACCAACAAGCTTTCTTCATGGAGTGCCTTCAAAAAACCAAGAAGAGTATGGAAGTCGGTCAGCAAAGGTCTTGCTTCACCAAGAACTATCTTGAGACCGCGGAAAAGTCAAACATCTCGGGCGAATACGAAGCTTCTTGCGTGATCGGTATGATGGCGCTCGTCGGTATCTTCACAGTCACTGGACCGATTTACTACTTCCTCATCAGCATGCTACACCACCCCGAGTGGCAGGTCAAGTGCCAAGAGGAGATTGACCGCGTCTGCGGTAACCAGCCTCCTGCCGTCGCCGACTTGCCCAATTTGCCAGTTCTTCGTGCGTGTATCAAGGAGACAATGCGCTGGAAACCTACCGTACCTACTGGTAAGCACACAAGGAGCCATCTTCCGTATTGATTCTAACTTTTTCCCAGGTGTTGCTCATGAAGCTGAGGCCGACGACTGGTTCCAGGGATACTTCATTCCCAAGGGCACGCGCATTCTTCCTCTCGACTGGGCCTTCCTCCGAAACCCCGCCAAGTACCCCGAGCCTGAGGAGTTCCGCCCCGAGCGATGGTTGGAGGCTGGATGGCCGACATTCCAGGAGCCCTTGACCAAGTACCCTGACATCGTTGGCATGACCTCGTTCGGTTGGGGCCAACGCCAATGTCTCGGCATGTCCATCACCCGCGATGAGACCGTGACAGGCTGTGGAGCTCTGATGTGGGCCTTCAACCTTAGGGCAAAGGTCGACCCCGTTACCGGCAAGGACATCGAAGTACCAGTCAACAAGTCCAACTCTTTACTCATCATCAAGCCAGATCCATGGGAGATGGCGTTCCACCCCAGGAGTGAAACGCGCAAGCAGGAAGTCATTCAGCTGTGGAAGGAGGCTGAGGCGAAGGATATCCAGGAGCGTGCCGAGTTTGCGAAGTCGGCTGAGATGAATGTGTTGGTGCAGCCATAGGCGGCGATACGAGAAGCTTTTTCTTTGTTGGGTATATCCGAGAGCATAGCCGGGAGGCACGGCGTTCGTGAGCGCTGTCAGTTCTTCACCTTCTCTATCTTCTCTTCAGTAGTTACAAGGCCGTCGCCACACCGGCCAGCCATAATTTGATTCCATTTGTCACATTTGTGTTTCGCTTGATACGGGTTCGTGCGCCTTGATGGCTCCAGGAAGTGACGTTGGGAAAGACAGCCTAGGACAGTCACAACCACGGGTGAGGGCAGCCAGTGACTCTTATGCTGACCGTATCAGACGTTACACAGGATACTTTAGGGTCGTATTCGCTATGAGGAGCCGGTCGAATGGCGCTACGGTGGTCCGTTCAGCAGCAATCTGCTGCGATGCCTTGTCAGAGCGACGCCACGGAATCCCGTGGCTGAAGCCATCCGGCACAAGGACCAAGGCAATCTTTGCTGCAATTGCGATGCCAAAAATTTCGGGCGATGGTACTCGGGCGACGATCCCTTACGTCTGCCCTGAGTGACATGCGGGGAGGGCATGGCGCAATTACCCCTCCAAGCCTGGCCCGAGCGGCCCTTGCACGTCCAGCCTCGACGGTGAGAGGCCCAATCACGCCTCGGGCCCCACCCTTGTGCTGTGCTCTACGGAAAGAGCTATGCCCCTCCATGGCCTCTCTCATCTTTTAAAGCTGCCCCTCATCCTTCCCATCGACAACACTCCACCACCACACCCTTTTCACTACACACTCAAACCACATCCATCACCATGTCCAACCCCAAGGTTTTCTTCGACACCACCATTGGCGGCCAGCCCGCTGGCAGGATCGTCATGGAGCTCTTCGCCGACCAGGTCCCCAAGGTGAGTACCCCGCTAGCAGAGTCTTCGTCAGGCCTCTTTCCCCGCGAGGCACCGATGAGATGAGGCAGTCGCTGACTATAACCAACAGACCGCTGAGAACTTCCGCGCTCTCTGCACCGGCGAGAAGGGCACTGGAAAGAGCGGCAAGCCCCTCCACTACAAGGGCTCCAGCTTCCACCGCGTCATCCCCCAGTTCATGCTTCAGGGTGGTGACTTCACCCGCGGCAACGTACGTCATACCCACGACCCATCTTCTGGCGAGCACACATGGCTGACATAACACAGGGCACCGGAGGTGAGAGGTAAGCTTTGGCCGTACAAAATGCATGTGAGACATACACTGACTTCTTATCTTCACTGTAGCATCTACGGCGAGAAGTTCGAGGACGAGAACTTCAACCTGAGGCACACTGGCCCCGGTATTCTCTCCATGGCTAACGCCGGACCTGGTACGCTCAGAACACTGCCCCGTGTCTTGAGGTTCGAGAACTGATTAAGCGTGCAGGAACCAACGGCTCCCAGTTCTTCATCTGCACCGTCAAGACCTCCTGGTTGGACGGAAAGCACGTCGTCTTCGGCCAGGTTGTTGAGGGTCTTGAGGTCGTCCAGGCCATCGAGAAGGTCGGCTCCCAAAACGGCTCCACTAAGCAGACCGTCACCATTGCGGACTGCGGCCAGTTGTAGATCGACTGGAGGCGGAGAGAAAATTAGAGACGCTCAAACGGGCGTGGGCAGAGGCAGCAGGAGACTGGCCACCGTTCAAGCCCACCATGCATTGATGGGCTCACGACGCCATGATTCACGACCCACAGCAAAGCTTGATAGAGGTAGCGCAGTGAGCATCTTTGATCTGTCGTAGTGCTATCTACCACTATGAAATGACAATGATCAATGTGCACTTTCCAACAGTTTTGATTTACCATGTGATCCTTTGCCGTCGTACTTTCAGATATACTCGCGCTTGTTGATCGCCAAGTTCTAACTCAATACCGAATACATTGCACTGCAACTAGTATCAAAGTCACGATGTGTGAATCAAAGATCACGACATTGCACCCGTGGTTCAGAACTAATCTAGACGCAGTGATGGCGGTAGATGCTCGAACTGAGGAAAAGTGATTGGAGTGATACCTGGAAATTGTTGATTGGGGCAATGTTGTAACGGCAGCATTGTTTAGAATTGCTGCGACAGGATACAAGATGAGCTTGCTCTCGAGGTCCGAGACGCCTGTCAGCATTAGTTAGGGGTGCATACATGGAGTACATGTGTCATGCCATGCTATCTTTAGCATCGATTAGTAATATTGCTGATTCATTTACCATGCGAGAGATTACCAGCTCGTCTTCTACGTGTAGAGTCGGGTAGACAAAACATGTGTATGAAAGGAAGGAAGCTGGAGATTGCGACTCGCGTTTGGTGAGCGCTCGTTCATGCTGTCGAGTTCTTCAACATCATCAGGCATGTTCATCATGAAGGTCAACCAAGAGTAACTTCTCGGCGTGATAGCAAGGCTAGCCCCATGGATGCAGCATGGTGGTTCGGCTGATCAGTGCATGTCGTTCAAAGCCTTAGCGGGGCATAGAGTCACGACGCACTGAACGCTCGCGCATATAGGCAAACTTGAGGGGCAGCCTTTGAGTCAAGTAAGGCTGCTTTTGAGAGCTGTAGTTTGCGGCCTCATCTACAGACGCCCAGTAGATGCGTGACGAACCTGGGGGTGTTGAGGCTTAGCTGAAGCTGCGCTTTCCCAGCTGAACGCCTCGCTCAGAGTCCTCCGAGTTGCTCATAGAAATCGTGGGTACCTTCGCCTCGCAGGCCCCCAAAAGAGCTCGGTTCAACAGGCCATGGAAGTGGTGAGGGCATCGCCTCACTGACGTACAAATGCCCTGTGAGGCAAAGTGTGGGGAAGGCTATGAGTCCATCGTATCGAGTAACAAGGACGCCTGCTTAGTGGTCGAGCCAAAGGGTATGTGCGGGCTAATCGTCGCCAACTGTTTGGTCAGTATGCAGCAATCACTGCCCTCCTTGATGGCACCATCGGACGGATCCTCGGTCAGCATCTGCATGGAGTGGACCTGACGACGTCTAGAAGCCTTGGATGCAACTGATAGACAGCCGTAGCCGACTTCCCAGCGAAAATGGAGACATGAGTGGATGGACGAAGTGGGGAAAGAATATGCAGAACCATTGGCGTGGAAGGAACGCATGGGAAAACAGCACTGGCTTTTCGATGGGCTCAGCTCTTTCATCTCAACTACTATCGGATGACGGGTTTTCAGATTGATCGGTTGTGACGATTGAAAGGCTCTGCGCTGTTGTTGTCGTGGCTGGTGTGCGAGCTCAACACGTAGCCCGTTCTGATTGGCTGCACAATATCCGCAGTGAAGCATTTCTTTTCTCCAGGAGCAGGAGATGTAGCATGATGCAAGAAAGCCTTCCTTCGTTACTACGTCGAGGGCAAACATATTTATCGGTAGGCAGCAATATATGCAGCGATGACACGTTTCGGTGGTATTGCCCAGGTTGAGGAGCTTAGCGTGCAGGACTATTAGCTCCTTCCTCTTTGCTTCTGTCACAACCAACAACCGTCTTTCGCGCAGGGTGATCTTTTCGATGATCGTGCTCATCAGCCGTGGGCATTCTGGTCCCTGGGAAAACGGTGGAGAGGGCTAGCTCCCGGGCTGCGTAGAGGCTGGTCCTTGCCAGCGCAACCTTGTAGTAAGCCCGCAACGGAGGGGTGAATCAGCCATTGCAGCACAGGACCCGACGATACATGGGCATCTGTCGCATGCGCATGGACGTGCAGTTCCGATGCGCAGCGTGCGACCTAGGTACTAGCTGGCGCACATGACGTCGCTGGGGTCGGGTAGGCAGCAAAATCTTCCCACTATCATCTGACGAAGACCGGGAGAGCCCGTCGAGGAGGCCGTCTAGAAGTCCGTCGGCCTCGCAATACACGTGGGATGATCACCAGGGAGGGAGCAGGGAACGTCCCGTAGGCGCCCGGTGCCGACGAGGAACCAAAGGCCAGCATCGGGTGAGCCTGTCCAACATGGGATGCCTGGCAGGTCGGCCGATCAAGCGGTGTCGAGCGAGGCTAAATTTGCGTCCTCTCCGCGCGCGCTGAGTGAGCACTGGATTACTACGCTGGATGGCACAGAGTGCAGCAGGTGGAAGGCTCTGTTTGGTGACGCCGTAGAGGCTGCCGTGAGCGTTTGGCGAGGCAACGGTGTGTGCTGGGGGAGGGTCAGCAGCTCGCAGTGATTCGCCCAGCCATGTCTGCATCGCTCGATGCGGGCAAGTCAGGTGGCCAGCGGTGCCGGCGATTTGCTGGATGAAGCCAAGGGCGTTTTGTGGGTTGCAGCCATGTCCGTGGGCCGTGATCGAGGACTCTGCGCGGGATCAACCAGCGTCGAGAACCCCGCGAGACAACTGCAGCGTCCAGGCAGCCTATTTCGTCTCTCCCACGCCATGCGCTGCGCCTCGATTCGCGCTGCACTGCTGCTCCAAATCCGCTGCGTGTATTAATCCCCGTCGGTCCTTGTCTCCGCCCTGCGCCGGGTCACCCTTTCGTGAGCTGTCTCAGATCGCTGCGCCGCCTGCTTCACTCGTGCGCTTGACCCTCACGCTCTACTTATACGCTTGTTTGCTTTGCATGGCATTGTCGTGCCATCCCCACCCACATATCGGCTTCTGCATGTTCAGCCAATACCCCATCCATCCCATATCATTAATACCCCATTGTCCATCACTGCAAGACATCACGTTACATCATGGCGCCCAACCCACACTGGCGGCAGCACCAGTCGAGTAACAGCACCGCTTCTGGCCGCAGCGACAACAGCACCGTGTCGGCTCGCAGCGACGCCAGCGACCGTTCGTACGACACCGCGCCGACAGAGTACAGCGACCGCAGACCGTCGCTCATGCACAGCGAGACCAGCCACGCCCGCCTCCAGGGACGCGCCCGGGAACGAGACTACTTTGTGCCTCAACACAAGGTCGACCGCTATCCACAGCTGCCGCCCCGCTCCTCCGTCGACACATATGCCTCGACATCAGAAGAAGACCTCGCCGATGAGCTCGATGATGACATGCCCGACTACGATGTGCCCACATACCGACACGAGCCACTAGCCTG